AATTTTTTTAATATCTTCTAAATTTATTGCATTATTATTTGTACTTGATTCTACTTCTCTACCCTTTTTAAAAGGTGAGGCTATTATGTCTCCTTGTCCTATATTTATTTTGACTTCTTGTAATGGAGGATGTATAGATGTTATAATTTGATCATCCTTTAATTTCCATTTTTTATATAAATTAGTTTGAACATTTATTTGAGGTGTATGAAATATATTATTTATTCCTAATTTTGAAGTATAGAATGATAACCAAGTAAAGAAAGGAAAATCAAATTTTTGCTTTTCTAATTCATCCCTCACATTTCACAAAAATATTCTTTTCGTCCCTTACTTTTAAAATGAAGCAATTTCGTCCATGACATTAAAAAATTAAAGCTATTACATCCTTGAATCCAATTTTCAATCTGAATCAAACCACCTATCAACCCGATTACAAATTTTGAAGGTATAATTGGTAAATCACTTGGTTAACTCAACTTGAATATAACTCAACTTAAATTCCTACATTGTCATTGTATACACTGAGGGTTTATGTACTTACCATATCATTTCAATTTCAATTTAAACACCAAATTTTGTATTTATGATACACATCTAGACTCGCAAGCGAATATACTAACGATGCATGAAAAGATTTACCCAAAAGAAAAACCCGACTATTCCAAGACAAATAATGGCCTTTATGTTATAATGTTTATTTTTTTGGTTTGATAAATGTCATGTGAATATGATGAAATTGACCGAGTGACCTATCAATTCTATCTCCGAAATTTATTACTGGGTTATTGGATGGTTTGATTCAAATTGAAAATTAGGTTCAAGGATGTAATAGTTTTAATTTTTAAATGTCAGGGATGAAATTGCTTCATTTTAAAAGTGAGGGACGAAAAGAATATTTTTGTGAAATATGAGGGATGAAACAGGTCATTTTCCCTATCTTTAATTCACAAAAATTTTCTAATTTAGGCTAAATTTTAGAAGCAATAATGGTAGAATTACAGTGGTAAGATACCTCAAATGAGCACCAGTAGTTGGTTTCTTCTCAAATGGAGTTGCGACCAACCCAATGTCTAATAATGTCGACTCGCCCGAAGCTACACTAAGACTTCAGCTGAAGTTTTGAGGGGAAGGGGAGATGAGTTCTGGTGGTTCTTGTGCGTATGTGGGGATCGAATGAGTGGTGGAGACAGCAATGACTGTCGGAGAGTAAAGGACGAACGAGTGAGTTCAACCCCCTCAAGAGTGAGAAACTTAGAACGAAGTTGATCGATAAGTGAGAGGTTAGGAGAGTAGAGACGGCAGAGACAGCATTGACTGCCTGAAAAGTGAGAGACGAACGGAAATGCCATAGAGAGCAGTGGAAAGTGCAAGACAGTAGCTGTAGCTGAGCTCAATAGCTGAGTGGTTGAGTGATTTTTGAGTTTTTCTTGTTATGGTTTTCTCTTTTTAATATTTCAAAATTATGTTATTACTTGTTTTTTGTAATATCAGAAATTTTTTAAGTGTTCAAAACATTTGGTAATTTTTTTTTTTTTTGTAAGTGACGGGTTTCAAATTTAGAACCTCTCATTTACACTCCTTTGTACTATCTAATCTATTCCTCTAAAAAAAATCTAGTAATTTTGATAAAATGTGAACCTATAATGGTCATTTCATAATTAAAATAAATACATTATATAAATAATACAACTATTCGAGCGTTTCACCGAATACTCAAGTAGCATACGAGAGAGTTCAAACTTGGCTTGAGAAATGGAACGGATAGATCGAGTTTGAGCCGAGCGTTTGACTGAGCCATTCTCGAGCAGTTGGGCTCGGCAGCACCCCGACAGCACCGGATCTCCCCGGCTGACTTGACCCGACCCGTTTTGGCGGCTAGAAACTAGAAACATTTACCGGAGACCACCTGAAGCAAACTGTTTCATCATTAGAGATCTGAGCAAAACATTTTATCAGAAACACAATACAGTTTACATAGCGGCGACGCCGGAGAAGAGGAGCGCAATGGGATCAGTAACGGCATTGGCACCGGGGCTATCTCGGAAGCTGAAGAAGGTGTTGGAAACGCGAACCGACGGTGCTGAATTGCTGTCCTCGCTAAGCACTCTCTCCAATTTCTACACCGAAAATACTCCTCATTCTCGCCGCAATCTCCGATCCACAATTGAGAAGCGCGGCCTCTCCATCAACCAAGAATTCCTCCTCGCTTCCCTCACCGCACAACAGGTAATACCTCTCGGATCACTTTTTACTGGTAACATTTGCAGTCCGACTTTTTGAACTTTTTTTTAAAACTTTTTTATGTATAGGCATTGGATCGAGTGGAGGAGGAAGTTAATGCGTTGGCAGAATGCTGCGATAAGTATGATTTTTTATTCACTGGTTTATTTTTGTTGTCTTTTCAATTGAATTTGATAGATAGAGATGGAATTTCTTTGCATCTTGAGCTGTGTGCTTTGTGTATGTTGGAGTTTTGGTCGTGATGCTATTGATAGCGGTGGAATTGCTGAAAGTTTTTAGTCTGTCCGTTCCTTTTGGTAGAATGTGGAAATGTAGGAGTTAATTTGTTACTGATTTGAAGAACAAATTTTGGTTGCGGGAAGACAAATATGTAAGAAGACGAGACAGGGATTGACACAATTTGGAGTTGAATATTCAGTAGAGATTCATGTGGGGTCTGCCCCTAATTATTAGGGAAAGGTAAATTCACTGGTATGTTTAGATGCTTATCTTGTGTGATTTGGCTAGAAAAGGAAAAGATTCATTTCTGTGTAGTTATATTTCAGAATGAATTCTTGTGAGATGGTTAGCTGGGACTTTTGGTGGTAGTTATGGTTTCATGTGTTAATGTGGGAAGGACTATTGCCTAGGTAACCAAGGTGAATGGAGAATATTGTTCCAGTTTTTGAAGAAGTATGTGTATTGTGTAGGAATATGTATTAAATGGAGCTTGATAGTGTTGCTTGAATACACCCTGGAAAACCAAGATGAAGTCATTAATATAAGTACAAGATCTTTTATCCTCTCAATTTCATTGAGAGCTGAAAAAGAACCATAGGATTTACCTTGGTCGAAGATAGCACACCAAAAGGCAGCAAGAATAGCAAAACTTAAAATAGTGAGGTCCCCTGGTGAAGGATATATAGAGAGCTCATCCAGAACAGGAAATGTCGTGATGCCTGCAATAGTCTGAAACGTGCACCTCCAATGGTACATCCCAGCTATAACTTCACCTTCAGGCTCTATTCTTAATCAGTGTAGTCACTAACTTGGCTCTTCTTTATTTTACCTTTGTCTTCCTCTCTCTGATGCTCAAATTCACCAGAAGACAACTATGATGGTTGATTCTTAATAGTTATTTGGTTGACATCTGGAGCATGATGAGGTAAATGATTTGTCTGGTTGAGATTGACAAACAGTTACGGTAGAGTTCAAAAAACAAATGTATAATTGTAATTTTGCAGAAGATAGTTTTTTTCCCCCTGTAATGTGATATGAATTTATCCATCTCCATTATTGTCCTTCCTTTAAAGCGGTATCTTTTATGTCTTGGCCATGCTATTTTTGGTGGAAATGTTAGGTACAATAAGCATGTAGTTACATAGATTCTTCGCATCCTGGTGCAACTAGAAGTTTAACTTATTAGACCAAATTTCAGTTTGACCAGGGAATAATTGTTCTGTTAACAATAGCTTACTGAGTGAAAAAATGAGTTAGAAACGCCAGGTCTAATCTCATATGTAGCTGGCTTGATTCGTCTAGATGAGATTCAATGCACAGAGCTCTGTCTGGAATAGCAGATAAGTTGTTAGCATATTACATAATGGCAAGAAAATGAGTTGGTTAGAATAAAAGCAGAATTGGAGAAATGCAATAGATGAACTTCTGTGCTTCTATCAATGTGCTACCATTCTAATAAAGGCTCTATTAGGCATGGAGAGGTGGCACTTGTGGGAGTCAACCCAAATGTGTCAGTAGTTTAAGCTTTCCTAGTTAAATGTATGCTGTTTTTAGGTTGGTGCAATTTGTGTATAGCTATGTATTACAGATTGTAGAGTAGTTTTTGGATGGATCTCCTTTCAAGTATGAGAGGGATACTTGAGATTTTTATGCATTATGTGTGGGATTTACAGCATGTTTTGATAGAAGAATTCCTACATTTCTTGTTGATTTGATTAATGGGTGCCTATTTGGGAGAAGCGGAAAATCAGGTTCATTACCAGTTTAGTAGATTGAAAAAGTGATGCATTTCCATTGTTTGACCTCTTATTAGATGCTAGAGACTAATTTATGGATGAGGCGTTATTATGCTCTATACTTACCTTTTGGATCATCTTGGTTCTGGCTAAAATTTGAGAAAGTTTTCCATCAAAATTGTTTGTTAATTAGGCAATCGATAAGGGGAGTGAAGGAATATGCTAAGACGAACACTGCACAATTAAGCAATCACATTTATCTCAAATTTGAGTATTGAAACAGTAACTAGAAGGGATTTGATCTTATGCCCCAGTTAGGCTGTTGATTAACTTACTGCTGCAATTATTTTTCTAAGAATATTTTATCGTCTTGGAAGAAGCCTTCCCTTCTGAAATCCACTCCTCAAAGTCGTGTCTTCTGGATATGGTCCGAAGTAAAGTACTTTCAAGTTAATCTTGGCCCAAATCCCTTCTGGTTTAGAAATGCCTACTAATACCTAAGTACCTTATGAATTTTGCAACCATTGGGGTTATTAAATTTTTGTTGAAAAACAGAAGACTTTTGCTTCAGATGCAATTTTGGTGGTTTCATCCTTCTTTCTTCACGAGTACCATTAGGGTGTTTGGGTTGGTCATTATTTGCAAACACTATTTTTGTTGCATCATAAACACATTTTCCAATAACCATTTTATTTTCCCAACCACCTTTTCATCTCATATAAATCACATAACAAAAAGTACTAAGCGTTATTCCAAATAATTTTTTCCAAAAAATCTTGTCCAAACACGTATGGAGCAATATCTTAATTGATTATGACATGGTATCCTAACCAGCAAAGACAATATAAATGATGTCTTGCAGGAAATATCATGCTTCTCCTCAAAGTCAAACATTTTATCAACATCTGCTATATGCATTGCCAGTTTCTCAGCCACATCATGATCTTGCTGGTCTAGCATTGAATCCATGCCTTCCAACACATCCTCAGCAGCTCTTTTTGTCAAGAGACGTGGATGGTCACATATTTTTTTCAAGATCTGCATTCAGGTAAGCACGGTCATGAACAATGTCAGCCTATAAGAACTTGTGAAACGAAAATTTGAATATATAATATAACATAAAACAGCTGCATAACATTGAGGAAGAAAGCTATGGTTTAGTAAACTGTGCTGTCAAACGTAAAAAGAAGAAAAGCATTAACAATGACAAACCCAAAAAATTGGAACAAGGAAAAATATGTGGTATCACTACTTTGAAAAGTGAAGGAAGCTCTGAGATATTGTTTCTTACTTAACAGGAAATACCCCGACTATAGCATGAAAGGGACTAAGGTTAGCAAGTCAACAATAGTTAGAAAATTTTGAATTACTGGTGTACTCTTCTTCTTCATTGGAAGACAGAAGAAGCATGAGAGAGAGACAGATGGACGGACAGAAAGCAAAATATGCTAATCATTAATCAGTTATGAGTTGAAAAATTGCTTCTTTTAACAGCAAAATTAGGATGACTAAAATTAGCCTCGCAAGGCAGGAGCTTTCACTAGATGTTTCAACAGTTAGGTTTTCATGTTGATGACAGATTGACAACTTCTCTTCAAATTCAGGATCTGGTTACAGAGGTTACTTTTAAAATTCCATCCAAGTACCAGGATTTTGAACTGTTGCCTACATTCATTGTCATAATTAATTTGTAGATCTAAATTTCATGTCTTCCACCATGTCAAGGTAGACTTTCCTTCTGTTCCTTTACCCAAGAAAAAATATTTCTCATTTCCATGGTCCAATTGTTGATCCCAAAATTTAACAAGGATACTTCTACTAGCAGATTCCAAAAGAATGGAGGAAAAACCAAATTCACAAATGAAAAATATCCTTTAATATAATAACATAAGCAATAAACTCTTAATACGCCTTTTTCGCCCAAAATCTGGAGGTTTTATTCAAAAAGAAAAGCACCACTCAAGTCAATTTCTGGTACGCTATCGAAGTCGTTAAAATTTTTTTTATCCTCTATCAAAATAAAAAGCTGTAGAGTTAAAGAAAAAAAAGTGTAGAGTAGCTTGTTAACCAAAACCACTTTCTAGATATTGGTCGTACATGAATATAGAGTTCATGTTGGATAACTAGCTTAAGTATTTTTAGCAGCCATGCTCTAAAAAATATGCAAGTCCTTGAACCTGTGTGGCTACCAGCACAGAGGGCAAATTATAAGGACCACTTCCATTGACCATACTGAGGAGTAAGGGAAGGGCTTTGATGACAATGAGATCCTTCTTGTCTTGCTCAATGCAACTTGGTCTTGTTGACATCATCGAGATGTTAGATAAATCCTGTACATATCTACATACAATAGCAGGTGATGCATTGTTCACAGTGCCTAAAAGTATGTGCACAATGTATTCTGAATATACTTCTACACTCTTGTCCTAGAAAAGAAAATTATAATGAGGCCACGTTTTATCAGAATGCTTCAGAAAATTTATAATCATTGGAAGTTGAAGGTCTCTGCAAATTTCAAACTCTCATTTCTCCAATGAAGATGGTCCCAATTTTGACAGAAGCACGATATATGCCTATTTGTGGGCCTTTTTCTCTCATTCTATCTTTTGCTGTTTTTTTTTTCAGAACTCCTCTCCAGTGTCTAACTGGCCAAATAAGGACTCACATGTATGCCTCTGAGTATGAACACAATTAAAACGAGGTCTAAGTTTCTACCTCACTATTTGGTATCAACTTTTCCAAGTGAACAATTATCTTTGGTAGTTCTGAGGAATGGGTTTGGAGTTTACTCCTAAAGCTGAGTGAGCTGTAGAGGAGGCTGGTTGATAGAAGTAATGAAGTTTTCACCTGTTAATCTGGTCAGAAGTAGGATACTTTTGGTTAGAACAAGCAAATTAGTCCAGTTCGATCCTTCATTGTCATCTTTTGTTGACTGATAAAGAAACGAGCTCCTGACAGAATCCTGTTCAGATTTGATGACATTACTTGGAATACTTACCATTAAGTTTCATTCTATGGAGGTAATCCAACTGTAGTCCTTCGGCTCAAGATGAGAAAAAACTAAATAACATAAAGTGCTTGAGATATCAAATTAAATCAAATCACATATGGTGAATCAGATCAAGAAAAAGAAACAAGGGAAGAATGGCACAAAGCTCAAACATGGAAATACTTCAAGCTTACAGAGAGTATCCATTTGTTCATCTTTTAAGTAACTATAAAAGCAAAAAATTACCAGGAAAAAGATAAAAAGCAAGTGATGGAGACATTGCGGCCTTAAATGAGTTTTCTATTAAATTTTAGCTCTTTTACTACAAACACTTATTTAATAGTCTGCTTCCTAGCTAAGTCCATAATTTAGTACCTATGCAGTCTGCTTCAAATTTGCTAGAGTAGTTAGCTAGTTGTATGACTAGAAGTGTCTCAGTCAAGTACTTAAAAGATAGATAAGTTCTTTGAAATGAGGTCAACTCATGCAACCGAGGAAATCATTTGTAGGTAAGTAATATCAACTAGTGGCCAATACAATCCACATCCCTGCTATAAAGGACATGCAGCTCAATGTATAAGGGCAAATTTTGGCTGAAACAAACTTCCAACTTCAATGTTGGTATGAAACCAGTGAAGATATGCCATGTTTTACTAGGTCTGATTTGATTTCTAGGCTTCACTACTTTGCCTATTCTGTTTCTACTTTTTAATCACTATAAATTCAGTTTTATACCTTACTGCACTATAGCTGCATCAGCAGGATTATACTTAGAGAACCAATGAGGGGAATCAAATTAAATGTGATGCTGATTCACAAAAGTAAGTCAAAGTGAAGACTAGATATATATCATTATATTCCAAAAAAAAAATGTCCACAATGTCAAAACTCTTATAGGAACAGAGGCCTGGAAATCAAACTGACCACAAAGGAAAAAAGTTCAAAGTGAAGATTACCGTGAGTGCAGCCAAAGGAGAACCATCAAAAGCTGAAAGGACTATCTCACTTTTCAAGAAAGCTTCATAGATTTGTCGCTGTTCATTAAAACAGTAAAAGATATAGATTGCTCATATTTTCTCCAATCAGCAGAAAGCATACATTTTGGAATGAGTGTAGACAAGATTTAGTACAGGATAGCAACAAAGAACCCACACCTGGCACCTAGTCAATTTTAACCACACAATGATCTCATTCTTCTTAGAGAGTTTGCAGCTATTGCTGGAATCATCTTCACTGAATACCTCACTTTTCAAACGGCGAAGAAAGTAAGGTTGAATTTTTTCTCTTAATTCCTGTGAATATAGGACATGAATCTTTGTTTTAATGAAAAAATTTTGAGCAAACGGACAAAATATGTCCAGAGGGAAGTAGAAACTTAAAACTGTGCCAAGAGATGTGGGCACGGGTACAAATCAATACAAGCAGTCAGTACAAAACAGAGGAAAAGACCAGGTAAAAACTATTAGATCTTCATTGTGACAAATAAAATACTAAAAGAACTACAACATTTTACGATATCCAAATTGCCTTGCCAAATTATTAAGCCAGATTAAATGAAAAGATAGCACGAGATTCCCCACTGGCTAATTCTTGTAAAAAGGCTACCATTTAAAGCAAAGCATTTACTTGCATTCACTCTTCCTTGTCTACTCAAAATGAAGGAAGCAACCTCTAGAACATAGAATTTATGATACCATTTTTATCCAACGAAAGTAAAATCTGACTGTACTAGATATACACATGATCATATGGCAGTATATCAACAAATCAAGTGTAACACAAGCATTAGGATCCATAACTATATTATATATTAGATGCCAACCAGAAACTTAGCTTAAAGAAAAAGAAAATAAAAACCTGGTCTGCTTAAACTGAAAATTATTTGGAAAAACACTTTCGCATTATTCAATGTAGCACATTTTTGATGTGACATATGTGACATAGAAAGTTGGTTGAAAAAATAAAAAAAGGGGCTGAAAAACTTGTTTAGAGAATAATACCAAAACTCTTTCTAAATAATCAGATCTCCAAGTGATATATTTCATGGACGGAATTTTCTCCAAATGTTGGGCCAGAAATAATATGACCATCAGATTTTGCAATTATTTTGGAGTCCCCACTGCAACGAGTTGCCACAAATTAAGAATCATCTACCAGGAATTTCTTAATGAAAATGAAATTATGTACTACAGATCTGGACAAAATATCCCACATTAAGACATACAATATTACAGAAGAAACATCTGTCATGTCATCAAGGATACATCATGAGAAGCTCTAATTGCTCTCAACAAAGAGAAGCAAATGAAATAATTTTATGGAAAGTAGCTATACTAGCATTAACTTGATGAGGAAGAAACAGTACAACCCCTCACTCTGTTGACACCCAAAATATTGCAAGTTAAGCAGGTAGAGTGCACAGTAAAATTTGGGTAAGGTAATGAACAAATAATGCCACTCATAAATTGATAGCATCAACAAAATTATGAGATACCAGACCAAAATCAACCTTTACACATACTTCAGCATAGAAGCCTGGCCAAATCAAATCCAGTGTATATATAACATAGCAGATCCTATCGAAGGTTGAATTTCAGCAACATTTCAAATAATGTAAGACACAAAAACAAACTTCTGGTCTCAGAATATAAATAATCACCTTTGCAACAGTTGAACCAATGCGCTTTTCCCTATCAGACGCATTTTTCTCATTTCCACGGTTAATTAATTTCTCATACTTTTCTCTAAACCTAAAAAGTAAGGCAGCAGAAACAATAGTAGTTAGTAATGATTAGAGATACAAGCTTAGTTCAATATAATTAAATTCTAAGATGCTACATACCATTTATAGTCACCTAGAATCTCAGGACAGCAAAAGTTGAATAAGGCCCACAACTCCTATTCCAGTTGAGAAGGAACAGGAAGAAGTTATTAGCTCATCCATATTTTGCTAGATAAGTAATACCTCAACTATTGATGAAAAATCAAAACCGTGCTAGCAGATCACTTGTACCTTGAGATTGTTTTGAAGGGGTGTGCCACTAATAATAATACGATGTGCTGCAGGAATCTGAAGCAGACTTTTTGCCCTCTGTGTACTGGGATTTTTTATCAGATGACCCTAAAAAGTTGTGGTGCTTAAAAACCTTCCATTCAAGATAAGGACAAGAATTCAACAAGTAAAAGAGAACTTGAACTATGACTCATTCATGAAATCCTCAACAAGCAATCTGTGAAAAAATTTACAACCACCAAACTTTATGAAAACATCCAACAAAGTCCCCAGTGAAGTTAAAGATGCAGAAAGACAACTAATTTGCAGCAAAAGGCATTAGTAAATGAAACATATTTTCACCATCAGTCAAAAAAGTTTAACAAATTTGGTAAATAGGAAGGGATACTAATAGAGGGAAATAGGTCAAAAAATATCTGAGGAAACATCCAAAGGAGCAAAATCAAGCCAGAGTCAAGCATGTCAAAGAATTACTCAGAGCAACATCAGCTAATAAACCTATGGCAAAAAAATCTGCTAACATTCCAAAAAATAGGACAAAATTTCACCTTCACAAAAGCCTCCAGACTTTGAATTTAAAGAAAATGCAGAGGGTGAAATACAAATCAAGAGTGCGAGAAGGAAAAAAGGCATGACATTCACTTCTAACTGTGCCAACTGCTAAAAAGATAAGAAAATTTTTTGAGAACTGGTAAACATTAGAATGGGTACAGGCACGCACCAATAGAAAGATAAGAAAAATGTTTGAGAACTGGTAAACATTAGCATTGTTACATCAACAGACCGAACCACAAAAAGTTTAAAATAAGAAACTTAAACATACCTCGTCAAGAATTATATAGTCCCACGTCATTTCATCCTCACTTCCTTCATCATTATAATAGTAATCTCCACTTAATGACTTTACATTATTCCGCACGATGTCGTAAGTTGTCAAAAGAATACCTTTATCCTGTACAGTTAGCCCAAAACATGAAAATAAAAAGTAAATATCAGATGCTAAATCTAAAAATTAAATATCAGATGCTAAATCAAGGACATTGATATTGAATCCTTGAACTTATTCAATAACACAAACCCAAGAATTATCAGTTACAAATTAGTCACAAAACCTCGAATTGTTTTGAAAAAATTTGACTGGACAGAGACAATACCTGTAGTACATATTGAAGCTCATATTGCCTTGTAGTCACTGAAGTTCCGAAATATCTACAGAAATTGACATATGATAGATCAATTTTCATCATACTAGATTGTTTGACAAGCATACAGGCTTTAAAGGAGTGCAAAGAGAATACTCACTCTCTTGTCTTTCCAGCAAGGCCCACAGTTGAAAGTTCTTTGACCCAATGGGGCAACAGTGTTTTAGGAGCAACAACCAGGGCCCTCTTAATCAAATTTGAGTGGAAGAGTCCAGCTAGGAAACCACAAATCTGAAGTTTCGTGAAGCCTGAAATTAGTCCACAATGGACCTTACAAAATTATATTATTGAAAGATAGAAAACAAGTAAAAGCCTAAAGTTCTTTACCTGCATTGTCTTGCCTAAACCCATATCATCACCCAATACACCTCCAACACCCATAGAGTGGAGAGACCAAAGCCACTTCAATCCATCACGTTGATGAGGATACAACATTTTGCCAATTTTTCCAGGTAATCTAAAGGTAAACTTTGGACCAGTCAAAGTAATTACGTGCTCCTCCTCTGAAACAAAAACAACAGCAGGATCTTCCAATGCATCAAAATTATCAGAATCTTCATAAAGATGATTGGACTTACGCCACTTCACTCCTTTCTTATTAAAATCCTTCCCACTCACAATAAAACAATCATTATCCTCGTTTTCCCCTTCTTCTCTTAAAGTGGACTCAAATGATCGTCTAGCTGAATCAGAGTTGACTATAACTTTCTTAATGTCATTTTTAGGTGGCTGACAAATCTTCATGCCACTTTCTAACTTCTCATAAGAATTACGAATCTGAGATGCAACATCAAAATCATTATTCTTTTTAAAATCATCAATATGAGAATATCCAATGTCAGATTCCTTAGCAGAAGCTACTGATGAACCAGACGAGGTTGAAAATGAAGAAGCAGCACTTTCATAGTCAGGAATTTCTTCATTGTTTTTTGCATGGTTCACTTCACTCTTAGATAAATGCTTAGAATCATCTTTCAAGTCAATCCTCCTAGGCTCCCTTTTCTTCTCAATGGATAAAATCTCAAGCCTTGAGCTTAAATCATTAAGAATATCCCTTATTTCATTCATGCCACCTCCATAGCTATTCTCAAGAGCAGTTTTTACCCAAGGTGAAGAATCGCAATCCGAAATCCCCAAACCTTTGGACTCTTCTGTTTTGGTAATCTCAATATCCATCTTGCTACGATAACCATCATTTCTTGATGCTCTACAAGGGCTCCGGCTACCCTCAATCCTCACTTTCACCAGTTTCCCCTCTTCTCCTGCATTAATTGAATTCATTAGGTTAACAATGACTGCAAGTTTCAAGATCAACAATTGCAAAAGCATATCATACAAAACCAAGAGACGCAACCCAAAGAGTGCAAACAGAATTTTACCTGGTGGATGAGGAACAAGATCAGAATCACCATATGAAGAACTAGATCTTGTTTCATCAGCGTTGCCATCCTTGTTACAAACCTCACGACTGTCCAGAACAACATTTGATGGTCTTACTTTATCTACAAAAAGGCAATTCCATCTTTTTCTGTTTAAAATGAACCCCAATTTTCCATCTATACAATGGTAAGAAAAATTTTTCCCAAAATTATTTTTCCTTTTTCAGGCCTTTATATCTCATGTTAGATTAATCAGGTCATACACCCCTATTATCCAAATACAGTATGAACTACATTTTATAGCAAAAACAATTAACATAATATGAAACCATGCACACTAGACACTCGATTCTACACATTCTCATACACAACACAGAAAGATATATGAAAACCGAGAGTAAAAGAGAACAATGCTATTCCATCATTTTTTCCATTTAAAATGACCTCAAAAGTTCCATTCAAACAGCACCGACAACAACTTTCCCAAAATGCGATTCTTTTTCAGGCCCTCATATCTGATCCTCCATCAATCAGGCCATATGCTCGTACTACCAAAACACAATATGCACTACTTATCAGAGCACAAACAGTCAAAATTCTATGCAAAAACCATATACTCTATACACACTTTTTACACATTCTCTCACACATACACAATATACATACAAAAACAGAGGGAAAGAGACATGAGAAAAGCACCAGAAAGTGGAGACGGGGAATCAAAATCCGCAATCCCAGAGAAGCTTGGAAAATCATCTGCTTCAGCAGTAAACTTTGATTGATTTTGTTGTTGTAATTGCTCTACTAATCATCCAGAAGCTAACAAACTCAGTAGAGGAAGCAACATAATAATACCAAAAATCAGGCGTTAATAGAGTAAATAATAAATAATACCGGCAAAAGGACGGGGAGGAGAAGGAGAATCGAAGTCGGCGATTCCAGAGAAGCCAAAAACGTCTTCGTTTTCAGCAGCATCAGATGCTGAATACGCTTTACAGAGACGGCGTCTGCCTTGCAACTTCTTCTTCACCTTTACATTCGACTGGTTTTCACAAATTTCTTCCCCTTTTCACAAAGTAACCCCAGTAATCAGTCGATAAAGTTCCAGCCAAATAAGCATAACCCATTGATTTAAACACAAAAATAACCAAAAAAGTACAACAAAATGCAAAATAAAATCTTATTATCAATATTCATTCCTTTTACCCGGGATTTGGGAAATGGGTTTCGAATGGGACGCCGACAGGTCACTGAGAATCCGATTGTGGCGCTGATTAAGGCTGAGAGGGGGCTGGGTCCGCTTATGGGATTCCTGATTATCGGTCATATTTGAATTTTCACTTGGAGAACTTTACTCAAACAGAACTGTTGGCCTATAAAGTATTTAAAGTAGAACAGAGTTTCTCTTTTGCATATACATAAGGATTAAGGAAGAATGAAAATGGAGAAGAAGGAGATGATGGCTGGGAGGTTTTTGGGGGGTCGTCCAATTTGAATTTCGAAGCTCCAACAGTCGAGTCTGTCTATAGTTTGTAGGCTTGACAGCCCACTCAAAAGTCACATCAAGCGAGTTTGATTTTGTTGGAAGGGGGTTAATTTGAAGTATGACGAGTTATTAAAGGGGTGAAAATGTAAAATTAGCAATTTTGACATAACCCAACCGAATGAAATCAATTAAAAAAAGTGGTTTAGACTCGGGTTAAATGTGTTGGATTTTGCCAGTGGGTTAAATTCCAATTTCAACTTTTAGGTTCTTCAAATTCATCTCATGCAGGTTTGGGACTATTGTCAAACTAAACTACTTCTTAACAGCAATTAAAAGTTCGATTTGTACTTGACTTTGATTGAGTGCGAGTTAAAGTCGAGTGGCTCGTTTATATATTGATTTGAGTTCGAATGTATAATTTTCAGACTTGAAAACTCAACAACTCTTATTGAGCATAATATAATTAATTAATAATTATAGATTTAATTATTACATTTTAACTCTTTTAGGTTTGGGAGTTGTATAAATTACCAAAATATCATCTCTACCTTTTAATATCCTTATGGGTCATATAGTCATTTTCCATTAAAAAGAATAAAATTAGGTAGATGGAAATAAAAATAGGGCTTTGTTTAATCAATTTCCAATCCATTTGAGTTCTTCTTCCTATTGAAGCTCTCGACAAAGTGACGAACAACACAACTCGAAACAAAAGCTTGTTGAGCTTCCTTCTCAATCTTGATGTCAAATTTACCCATATGAAAATTGAAATCCATCTTTGAGCTTGAGCTTCAAACCTTAAGTTGTGAAATTCACTATTAAGGAATTGATTCTGCTGAGAGATTCAATTTTAGGAATTAGGAAAGCACAAACCTTAAGTTGTGAAATTCACTATTACTGACCTTGCTCTCTTGATCTTTATTCATTAACCGAAACAAGTAATGAATGATTGTTTATTACTGTATTTGCTCTAATTTCCATCCCTTCAAACCCTAAATTCTGAAATTGGGGGTTTTAATTCATTATTTATAGCGGCTAAAATTGAGGTTTTGATAGCTTGAGCCTCGAGGGAAAGCAAGGAAGACCATCAAGGAAATATGCAAAAAGAACTTGGCACTTCGACAAGTGCTTTGGAATCCGTTGCAAGAGTAGGATGAGTAGGTAAGCAGCATTTTGTTCTGCTTTTACTTGGTGTCCCTTTTTTGTTTTTGCTGACTAAATATCACTAGTTGTTATTTGTTGAGGATGGTTAATGGTTAGTTATTTTTTTAAATAAATTGCTGTTAGATAAATGAACTATTGGAGCTATCCTTGTTTGAGTTGTGGATTTAGTGGTTATCTGTGGTAAATGGTATGGTCAATGCCTTGGTTTACATTTGGTTATAAATTGTGACACCAAATATTGAGAAAATGCTTGGGCAAAAGATGTGGCTCATCATACATATGTTTATAAATGGAGACATCATATATTGGCTTTAGTTCTTAGTTTCTTGACTGTTCTAGTTGGCTAGTTGTTGAGAAAATGCTTAGCAAATGTATGATAAGTGTTAAATAACAACACAAAGCTAAGAAAAGTGTAACTGATTCTTAGGTACTTAGGTTGCCATAAAATTGATCACATTAGCATTGAAAATGTTCTTTTGATAGCTTTAAAGACTTAAGAGTCTAAAATATCAAAATCTACTTCACTACTATCTATTATAGGGATGTCTACCAGTCCACAGGAAGTGTGTTCAATCATGCATCATTATGCCTCTACTGCTGATTCATCTACTCCGTGTTAGTTGGACAGACCAATTGCGGTAAGTAATGACAACAAAAAGCAAGCAATTGAAGGACCACTATTCAGACCCAAAAATGCTCCTTTAACAAATAAAGAACCTACACGAACTTTGGAGACTGAAAATAATGTACAAACTGCTGAGGGAGACAAAGGAGAAGACACATTTTAGATTTCAAAAAGAACCAAGACATCATAGGCTTGGGATGACTACAAAGAGTTTGAAGAAAATGGCACACACTGTACAATTTGTCTTCGTTGTATGAAGAAAATATCATGAGGAAAAGTTAAACCCACAAAATTTTGATCCTTTGCAAGTAAAGAATCAAAAGGAGAGAGAGGGGTGGGATGTTGAAGTAAGATAGAGAGCAAAGGATGGCAAAATTGTACGATTGAAAAGGAAAACTTATCTTATCGCCCAAAAAAAGGGATAGCACCAAGTGAGATTGAGAGAGAAGAGTGGGAAAAGAATAAAACCTATGATCAGGGGAGAAGCAATGCCCAACTTTACCACCAATTGGCTGTTGCCTTTAAGGTTGTGGCTTTTGCTAACATTTACACCCAATGCCACAATAGCTATCCTAATTTGACACCTCATATTTTTTAATTTAAAAATAAATAAAGCAAAATAATAGTACTTGGTCTATGTTGTTTTATTATGACACTCACTTCTTAAGGTCTTGATAGAGGATCTAAATAGGGCTTTTTTGTTGTAGTGTGCTAATATCATCTAATGGTTTCCTACTCCCTACCTTTTTTACTAGTCTTTTCCATGCTATTCCTCCATTGAACTTCTATTTTTTCCCTGATCTACCATTCACTTCAATGTTTTTACTCATAATAATCTCTTTTCTTTTTATGTTTTGGTCTAGCGCAAGTTTCTAATCTCCTCTCTTCTCTCTACTACCACCAATCCATATACTATCACAACTAACATTATACATATTCCTCTCCTTGTTGACCTCTCTATCATCCTGATAAAAACTCTTCAAAATTGACATTTGGCCAGTCTCATTGTCTGTTACAGGAATAGGTTCACCATTATCTCTACTTTGGACATTCGTACATTCTCCTTGAGTTTTTGACATCTCTTCCTTTGTACAAATCTTCATTCCCTAAACTTGTTTAATCCTCTAGAGTTTTCCCCATGGTATGTTATCAAAAATTGTTTTTGGACTCTAGCATTCTCTATATTATCCCCCTATTTTCAATAGTGGTATTTGGTGGCTTTCCTTTTGTTTTCCTAGTTGGGTTTCTAGGATAGCTAACCCTTATCCACCCCTCTAACTAGGTGTTTTTCTCTAAATTGATTCCTTTCAGATTGCAGTTTTTCTCATTATGACCCAATCTACCATAATAGTAACAAAAGTCAGGACACTTTTCATATTTGAATACTATTCATTTTAGTGTTCTATCAAGTCTTATGGTTGTTTCCCTAAGAAAGGGTTTGGATAAATCCACCTTCACTTGAATCTTAATATGCGTCTCTTCTTTACTTTCTTTTGTGAGAACAATAACCTCTCTAACAAAGCTAAAGATGCCACCTATTTTCTTTCCTACTTCTATAGCAATCCAATACATTGGCAAGTTCCACATTTGAACTCACATCAGGGATCTATTGAAGGCTTTTTCCTCAGATTCTATCCCCTCTCTCCACTTCACTAGGACTAAAGGCTATCCATCATAAATCCAAGGTCTGTCTCCTAAGACTTTTTCCAATTCTTGGTAGGATTGAAAGGTAAATTGAAAGAAGTTTGGTCGTAGTTCCACTCTTCCAAATTTTTTGGGAAGTTTCACATATTATTAGCAGAGCTTTTAGTTCCTACCATATTAGCCACTTTGTGCCCTTTTATTTTCCCAATTAGGCGAAGATTACATTCCTTTCTATCACTCTCAATATCCAACTCATCTAATAAAATCCCATTCTATTCAGTTTCAATGAGCGTGAATCATTTCATAAAATTCTCCAGATCCTCCATGATTGGAGCAATCCACACAAATCCAAACCAGAGCAGCCACTGAACAAGCACAACAAAAATAGTAGGTCCGAAACTAATTTGGAAAAGCGAGAAAATAATTTGAGCGACCAGCACAATTAATGGTCCAACAAGTAAAAACTGAATAGCAAGTAAAAGATGAACAACATAATTAAATAGAGAACCTACTACTTACAAGTATATCACAAATTAGCCAGTAAAAAATAAACATAATGGATTGAAAAGGATAGATGGGAGGTTACTTTAGATGCTTGAGCTTGGTTCTAGGCATCTTTTTTCTTCAGTGCTCTTGCTAAAATTAACCATAACCCAACATCAGAGATCCTATTTGTAATGATTCTAGATTGTCAAAACCAGAATGAATGATATCTATCTTGTAATCTAAGCAAATAATAGGTTTAAGAAATTTAAGATATTTGGATCTTTACTATTTTGGGATTTCCGAGAATATTAAACTATTTTGAACACCAACTCGGGGGAAAGTCTCTCTCTAGAAAAGAGAGAAAGTTAATGAATGAAATTGATAGCAAAGCTAATTTGGGTCAACTTTTTCCTTTACAAACCAAAAAATTATCTGAACACTAGATTTCATGGTAAAAGGTAGCAAAGAATTCGCAATCTTTGATGGAGTAGTGATTGAACTAACTTGTTAATCTAAAAGATGCTCTTGATTCACATATTTAATAGCAAAATCGTAAAAAAGAATTCACAATCTTTGGTGTGGCAACAATTGAGTTAACTTCGTAACCCAGAGGCTTGCTTTTAAAATAGTTGTGCTTATAAATGCATCCATATATGATCAAATTGATCCAACTAGAGAATTAGACAAGGAAATCCTTATTTTTCTTTATCATTTTGTTATTGTATGAAATTTCTCTCTACAAGCCTCATCTAGGACCTAATTTAGAAAAAAGACTATACCCATAATAGAAATGGGTTTGAAATCTCTCATTGCACATCTGTGGCCAATGTCATAAGAAACCTTTTTCATGTCTTCTTTGTTGGGTTTTAGGGATACTACGCAGCGGAAAAATAAAAAATTTTCCCTAAAACCATCCAGGAATCACCCTAGATTTTACGTATGATGTACTAGAAGTAGGGTTTTAAGATTACCTTAATCCAAGCGGCGTCTCCCTGCAGCGTTGTTTGAGGATGGTCAGCCCTTGAGCAGTCCAATCGTCCTGCCTCTACTGATATCCACGCTAGAGCAACCCTGGATCGTCTCACGAACTATGTATA